GAGGCTTTCTATTTCAGCTTGTCCACACCGACGTCACTCGCGCATATTAGTCTGGTTGAGGTCGTGACTTTCATTACAGATTCCCTAGTCGTGAGTTTTCGGCTTTACTTGGTGTTACATTGCCTTAACCGTATTCCTCCAGATCCATCGACTATACGTCGTCTGGTCGTGCAACCGCCGCGTGGTCATCTTCCCGCTCCTCGCTCTCCTCTGTCAAGCAGGTGAACCGTTGCTGCAGCAACATATTATCAAATAAAAAGCACTGCTCACCCGCCCCGTAGTGAGCGGAACCCACATTATATACGACTTTTCGCGCGAGAATCTCTTCAATTTCTACGCTCTGTCTAACCCATGGGTGATGACCAGCCTTGTTTCGTCACTGGTGTGAGTAATAAGTATATGGTCGCACACACTCGAACTCAAAGGTCGATTTAGAATCAGTGGCTACAGTTCTGGTACCTTATTATCTCGTCCGCACAGACATTCTCAGTTAACAGCCCCCAGGGATGGTGATCTACAAAATCGTTAGTATGTCCCGGTCAATGCGAACCATCACTGGGAGTCACAGTTCTGGGAAACGTCTTATGGTGCGTCGTCGATACACACTTCCAGATCTTCAACATGAACCTGAGGTGGAATCACAGAGAGTCCTCGCGATCATGATCGAGAGCTCCGTCATCCAGACGTGCGTTCTCCGTTCATTGCCTTTCGAGCAATCCGAGAAGACTAAATCAACTGCAGGACAATGACCATCTGCATACTGATCTCCTTCCAGATCGGTCTGCTGGCGCAGGCGGTTCTGACGGCGCTACAGCCCGTTATCTTCGGCATCTCCGTTGTTCTCATCCACGCACGCGTCGGTCTGGGATGGGCACAGGAGTCCTACATCGCGTCCTCGCCCTCGGGGATCACCCTGAATGTCAGCACAGTGACATGGCGTGAAGGGGACTATGATTTGGAGCAAGGAAAAATGCATTTGTAGGAACCCAAACTGCCAGCTCAGATACGCACCTTTATATAATCTTCGACTCTAATATGTATGACCAGCGGGAACTGGTATCACCATAATCGTCTATAGCTTGTTTTTTACTTGTGTATTTGCCGTAGCTCACGAACAAACAGAGTTGTGATAGGCGTTCGTTTTCTCTCACGTTTGAATGTAACTAATTTTGGCGCCTGGAGATTGTATGCGTAAAGTGCTCGTCTTCTTCTGGATGCGCGCCCTCGAATAATAGAGCTCAGCAGATGGGGATCTTCTACTTCCTAGATCACTTGCGGCATAATTAACTGACAGCTGTTAGACAGATGGTTGAACTCTTCGCCGTTACCTTGACGGCTAACAGCCTCGGTTGACAGCGCGCAACGACGCATGAATCCTTATTTATGGCCAACGGCATTCGACTGTGCCCTGACTTTGCGGATAATTCTATTCAGAAACCCGGTTGCAGGCAGAAACCCCCGTCTAAAATTAGAGTTAATACAAAAACCTGGTTTCTGAGTTTTGACAGCGCCAGGGGATGGTCTTGTTGGTTGCAGCCTCCAAACTTGGTGGTAACCCGAGTCCATTGTCTCCACTACATGGAAATAAATGAGTACATACAGTATTAGTATCATAGTCCTAAATTCTATTATGATCATCAATAACTATATCGATGGGCTTGATGCCTATTTTGATGGTGTGATGCACCCACCTTCCGGCGTGGCGGTCTCTCGCCCGGGGGTGAGTGTCACACTCACCCGTATTCAGCCTGGATTATCTCAGCCACCCGGATCCCTCTCGAAGCCTGCAGCCCGCCGCCCGCCCGTCTCCTACTAGAGGCACGACGGAAGTCAACGAAGCAACTAATTTGGTCTCGCGCGCGTCCGACTTCGATTTCGATCTCGAGAGTGCATATCCCGACTTCCAGAATGAATACGGGGACTTTCCTGGAGACGGGGCGGCCGCGGGTGCTCCGGGAGATGATGCCGATGAAAACCCTCATGCTGGTCATTCCCTACTTGGGGAGCCCAGCGTTGAGCTCAAGGAATTTGTGGCGGATTGCGGACGTGCCACTACTTATTGATTATGTCGTTCCCTACTTATCTGCTCCTAATTCTGTAGCAGGAGAGTAAAGCAATGAGAGTCTAAAATGTACCCTATTTGTCTCCAATTTATTGCTCTCCTCCTTTGCCTTTCTCAAACCCAAAAAGTGTTTCGCTCCCTAAACGCTCGTCGACCCGATTGGGACATCCCGCAGGAATTGATGGATCCGGCGAATAGTGGTGACCGGTGCACGTGCCGAGGTATATTTGTCGTGCTCTGTCAATGTGCCCAAAGACCAGCTAATATTAATAATTGGCAGCGACACTGGTTGAACAATTCAAGTTTTTTGGTGAAAAAATTGGTGAAAAATATAAACCTTTTTCAGCACTTTTTGACTTGTTTCAAAATTTTCACCTTAAAAATGAAAAAGTAGTGAAAACATTCTAAGTTTTTCACTTATGGTTTCAGTGAAAAAAGTGTGAAAAATAATGGACATTTTTCACCAATTTTTTCACTGAAAAACTTGAAATGTTCAACCAGTGCGATGCACATTACAGAGAGCAAGTTCTGACCTAAGTACATCAATTATTATTGTGGAATGGCTGGCATTATCCTGGCATTATTGTACTCCCCAGAGATATATCTCTAATCCTAATTTTACTTCCCAAAGTGATACAACAGTTGAACCCTGTGGTCAGAGGCACATCCATCCAAATAGACGTTGATTAAGAGAGTCTTAATCAGCTGCCGAAGGATCCCGTGTCTTGCGCTGGACCCTGGACTTCCCAGTATTTCAGGCTCCGAGATCAATTGCTACGTCTGGACGATAGTCCCGTCACAGAAGACCACTACAAAGTGTTCAATGAAATGCATCTAGATCTGTCACTCTATTGTATTGTTGAAGATTCCTTGGTTTACATGGATTCAATCGTGATCATGAGAGATCGGCATTTACGAAGTTCCAAGCAGCAGGGTATCCAGTGTTCTCTCTATAAAGGACTCACAGTTTTAGGAATCAGTGGTCCAAAAAATTGAATACATGCTCACGATTGACAATGCTGCTCAGACAAAGTTCAGTCCAGATTCCATTTTGACTGATCTATTACTTACAAGGGTTCAATGGCATGATATTTCGAGTCTGAGCAATACCCTCGACTTTCAGCCGCAATGCAATGCCAGGAGTTGTGTGGATGCGAATTTGTTCATGAGACTGACTGATATAAATATTAAAAGACATTTCTCAGAAGGGCTACACACAACGAGAAGAACAGGTTGTTGGGAGGGGATGGGTCTCAAATGATTGATCAGTGTTTCGCAACCAGATAAAAAAGTGTTACCGATGTTCCAGTGTCGCATGCATTTGGCTGATTATCCATTTGCCAAACAAGACACAATCTGAGGGTGTTTGACGTCATCAAGCCCAGGTTGCAGATGAGTTGCCCAAGATTATTACCATTGTGAACCCCCCTCGAGGCTCGAGACCATACATACCTAATTAGCTATCATATTTACGCGCCCACGATACGCCGGGATAATTTTTACCATTCACGTCTCTATTATTTCTCTTTTACACCAAATACCATACAGCACCACCTTGTGTACTTCTACCTCAGCCGATACTGGCCACATGTAAAGTAGAACCTAATGAATGAATGCTCAAAATTATGAATATCATGACATCCATTCCTAAAGGTTCAGCTCCTGCCTCGCAGAGGCCCAATCCCATGTCATACTAATACTGTATGTACTCCACCGCACATCGCCGCCCACCTCCCTCTGCGACGCACCGCCCCTCGCCATCCGCACGACGGAAATACACGGCAGATCTGTGCCGACTCCACGGGATCGTCACGGAGACACGGACACTTCTCCGCGCGGGCACCGCAACTCGACGCGCGAAGCCGTCACGGGTTGGGGGCTGTCGATGCATCCTTAGTCAGCAGTATGCAGCGAGGAGGGGCAACGAACTCGAAGCGCGTGGGCGGCTTTAGGCGGGCGGTGGAGATCATCGCTGCGGCGTCGTCGTCGGTGTGGAAGAGGAGAAGTGGCAGTGAAGGGCGCCCGTTCGCCTCGGGCTCGAGCCATAATGTCGAGTTCTGCTGTTTTTTTCCTCCATCTCGCATCCGCAAGTATAGCTGATATTATACAAGCTCAAATCCCCTTCTACTCAGTGATTTAGGGCCACATTTATTAGTCTGTACGGGTTGAAGGGAGTCTCAACATGATCCTGATCTGTGATGCACAGAAAAATGCCCAGGCGCTCTGGGTCCCGGTATGCATTGGAACAGCTCGATAGTGGATGATCCGCATCCCCACATTATACTTATTTTCATCTGTATACAGGAGACGCCCGGTCGACTCGGGCTCGAGCCATAGCTTGATTGTCGTATATGGTTTTTCCTTGCGGACGCTTGCGCTTTCAACCCCCCGCGTATTCAGGTCGGAGCAATGGACCAGAATGGCTTGATGCCGGACGGTCCGCACCTGCATCCTGTTTGGTGATTGTCATCTCCTAGTGCTGGACACACCGTTCGACGCGAACTCGGGCCATTGGCCTTGTTCATTCGCTTTTACAAAAATTCCCTTCCTCATGCACGCAGACCTAGAGGGCTTGACTACGGCGGTAGATATGCTTCGATATTGTGTATCTTGTACTCCCCCGCATTCGAGCTAGCATAATCTGTACTCCCGTGGATAAATGCTGGGCGGCTAGTCTCTGCAGCAGAGGAAGTTCTTATGTGTGCAATCCAATACTCCCAGCTTGAGTTTTGGGTGCAGTGTGGGACACTCAAATTCAGAGGGGGGGTTGAAACCTGAACTGTGATGTGGGTGCTTGCAACAGATCAAAAAACGATTAGATTTTTAAACTGCGTCCCCGGAGTTTCCCGGATCAGAGACGAGGTCCCGAGTTGCCCCGGCAATTACTCCATGCAGTAGACATCGCTTTGAGAAATGCACCGCGGGTTTACCTTACATGGGCTGTGTAGTGTAGCGGTTATCACTTCAGATTCTGATCCACGACTTCTGGCGACCCCGGTTCGATTCCGGGCACGGCCTCGTCTTTTTGTTTTGGAATCACCTCCGTTTCCTCACTCCCTGCCTGGATGGGCATATGTGCCGCTCCTTTCCCTCTGGTCGTCAGCCCCTTCTACAAGGGCTCCATGTTGTTTCTGTATGCAGTTTTCAACTTTTACGAACATATACCTTGCTAATAGTCCTGAATTTTCTCTTCATCGTCACTCAGACGACGCCGATGATCTGCCCAGTAACACTGCGGAATGTCCTGTTGGGATCGAACTGCGCGCGCACGGCCGCAAACCTCTTCAAGCTCTGTGAATCACGCATGATCGGTCAGCAGCAGTCCAGCCTCGCACCATGGGGGAAGGAACTGGAAGGAACTCACATCCTCATCGAGATTCTTGAGCGCTTGCCCGAAAATCGAGCGTGTGTTCTTCGTCCAGTGCGGGCGGATCGGGAACTGTTGCTCAGTCAGCCATTATTCAGTTCGCCAACTCCTAGGGAATGAACGAGGGCGCACCTCGTTTATGAGCGTTGTCGCCAAGTTGGCATACCAAGCCTCGTTGTAGCGATGCCGGTCCCCCGTCGTGGGGACGAAACTCGGGAAGTCGAACATCATTGCTCCCTAAAATAAACCCTCTGAGCATCCGCGAGGTTATTGATTAAATACGGGCAACACCCGACCGCACCTTGGACCAATCGCCCGTGATGTTCCCGACACGCTGCGTCGTCTGTCCGAGGAAGCTATCGAACGGCTTTCCAAACTTCACGTCATACGCAGTCAGCAGCAATCGCCTGCTGAACGCCAACCAAACGTACCTTGATATTGATCCCACTGGGCGCGCGTCAGTGGCATAGCTCACCGAGACTGGACATAAATAATGCGCACCTGCGATACGTGCTCGTCACCGCCATCCCCGCCGCCGCGGACTCGTCGAACAGCTCGCGCACGCGGCGAAGGAGTGCCGTCGCCTGTGGGATGGGTACGGCGAGCTCGAGCGTCGCGCCGTGCAGGTCATAATCCCACTCTGGCTTCGTGTCGGGATACAATCCCCCGATCAGCACGTCGTATGCGTGCCCCACGACCGGCCACGAGAGTAACGGGAGGTTGAAAGTGGTTTCTGCGGGCGGTAAGCACGGCTCAGAGTCCGCTAGTCCTTGAGGGATTTAGATTGGACGCACCGTGGAAGTTCGGGCTGGACCAGAGGGCGTAGAATATGTCGGCGGAGAAGAAGTTGGCGCTGCTGGAGTTTTGGCCGCCGTTGAGGAGGGAGAGAGCGAGATTTCCCTCGAGGGAGGTTACGGAGAAGGTCGACTGGACAGGTGACGTGAGTAGTCTTGCGACTGAATTGGATGGAGCAAGCGACTGGCCTGGAATGCATTCCCGGACGCGTTGACGGGCATCACACCATAAGTGCGCAGATGGAATTTCTTGACGCCTACGCCGAACATGATTAACCAGCCGAATATACAGGCAATAGAAGCGCGTACTCGGCCACCACTATCAAACCAAATATCAGAAAGCGCGCGGATATATCACGGTGGGCCGAACATACCCAGTAGTTCGCGGTGACATACGGCGAGATTTGCGCAAATATGTCCCCATTCAAGACATCGTCCTCATCCAGCGTGGTTTGGTTGGCCCAGACCTTGTAATCCGCGAGGACCGAGATCTTGATGCGTGCGATGACACCTAAGAGGCCCAGCGACGTGGTCGCCGCGAGCCAGGTGTCATTGTTAGCGCTTTTCTCGAGATGTACTAGGTCGCCTGCGGGAATCAGTACATAAATCTGGCGTCCGAGCAGAAAGATGCGCACCTTTGCCGTTGATAATATCCATGGCGAGGGCCGAGGCCGAGACCTGAGAGTCCTCGCGCAGGGACGAGCGGTGGGCGCCCATAGCGATGGCACCGCCTGAATGAATGAGTATCTGGATAACATCACCCGCTAATTACCCACCGAGAGTTATATTCCAGTTGACTGTACAATCCAACATCAGCCGAGATCGACTGTGAAGGAACGACGACGAGTATACCAAGGGTAAATCCCAACGCGGCGCCACGGTCTTGAAGCCATTGCGCCCTGTACCGGATTAAATCTCTGTATGTATGAAGGGACCAATCGGTCGACGCACACTTGAGGGAAAGTGACGCCCGCCTCCACAACCACGGAACCTACGCCGCCCGACATCTGGAGATCCGAAATTCCGTTCACAGCATCGGTCTTGATGATTATGGTGGCTGGGTCATCGGAGCACATCGTGTCATCTGGAGGCTTTCTCAGTGGGGGCGTTGCAGGGACGTCAGATGCACTCACACCACATGTGGGCATTCTAACGTCAGCGATACATTAGGATCCAGAGACGCTTCTGAGATTGGAGCAGGACTCACCCCACTGGCGCGGACCGGAACGCCATTAATGCTGGCGTTCTTGACAATGGCGACCATCTCGTTCACGGTAGACGGCCTGTAGACCTTTGCTACTGCATGGCACGCTGGAAAGCCCTCGCCATCGAAGGTATTGTACACCTCGGCTGCTCATAAAACCAATGAATCGAGCGCAGAAGGGACAGTGGCTACGGACTCACAGGCAGAAGCATGCCTGACGACATTTGCCAGCAAAATGAGGGCACAGTTGACGAGCATGTTGCTGGAGGAGAGGGCTTACAGGTTAGGTGGGATCTGCGGTCCATCGAGCCATGCCACGGTGCTATATACCCACACGAGGAATGCAGGGAGATGCATGTGTTAGTGCCGATAGTACGGGGTAGAGGTGCCAATCATCCTGGGGTCGGCGGTGTTAACCGGGTGTGATGCACGTGGCGATCTCCGAACGGTTCCGGGGTCCTGTTGGCTTCCAGCCCGAATGCATTTCTGTCCGGCGATATTTAGGTAATCAAGGACGGTAATTGCAACTGTCTGAAAGCCCCAAGAAACCACAACGGCCTGCTTTTTTCCAGTTGAACCGCATCTCGTAGCGCGATCCCGACAGAGATACGCATAACTAACCCTTCTGATGTTCTAATGGGTGCAGCTGTGAAGACCTGTGACCACGCCAAGATGTCGCTTCCCTTCGCCGCCGGCTTCGCGACACATGGAAATATTTTTGCGGCATGGCAGAAACAATGATTTACAGTCATATGGGCGGTGGTCGTTGATTTGATCGTCACCAGATGACGCGAAGGCACCGAATTTCCTGCTCCTCGGGTCCGTCAACACGTTCCTCGTTCTCGCGCAGTCTCGGCCTGGCTCGGTCCCGCTGGCTTCGATCGCTCAACAGTCTGGTATTCATTATGCACATGGGAAACAACAGCGTGTCCAGGTTCTGCCTTTCGAAGCTCTTTAGCTCGTTGGCCAGCAAACGATAGTGCTCATATTGAGAGTAGGAATTACTGAAGAATGAACGTCCATGCCCCTCTTTGTAGGGCCGTTGGTTATTCCTGGACAATAAGCCAGTGAGCCGAGCTAAAGAGGCAGCTTGGAGAGACATGGGCGTTCCAGAAAGCAAAGAATGTCCAAAGAACCAGCCGGGCTGCTTCATCATGAATAAATCACGCAAGAACCAGACAAAGTGCCGTATCATAAATAACACCCACCGTCACCCCCGACTCGATGACCCTCGTCAGCGCGCCACTCCGCGGGGAGAGGTAACTGTCTTTCCGCATATCCTGCACGACGGGCGTGAAATCACGACGCCGAGAAAGTCGCGGGGCCACGAGTATGTCCGCGACATACCCATAGCCGGCGTACGAGATCTTGTTCAAATACGGAGCGTAGATGCTAGGGTGGGCGGATGTCTGCAGTATAGGTAGGCCGAGGTTGGGTTCCTGGGGCGACACAGAGATGTAGTATGTGAAGAGGACACCCCTCGTTCGGGGCTCGACACGGGAGACTTTGCGTTTCAAAACGGAGCTAATGCTACGTTTCCGGGGGGGCGCGGCGGGGGCGGGGGTCAGTATGATGACGCTGGAAACGTGGAGCATAAGCTTCCACGTCTCGCGACGTAGGGGGCTTGGGTGTACTACCAGTTTTGGCCCGACGGGATCAATAGGTTCGGCACGGTCCATGCGCCATATTCTGTTGATACCTAGATCGTCGACCGGTGGTCTTGGAAATTGGACTATTGGGACCCATGTTGGCAACAGGGCGTATGTTACGAGCCGAGCCGGGTATGGGGTAGGTACGTAGTATTACACGGCACGGTCCCCTGAGGAACACCGGTTTTCAGGGATTATCTAATGTACAGGCGCCGAACTACATTATTGTCCCTGGACCTCTCCAAAGCACCAAAGACAAGCTCACGGCCGCACACTTACAGTCTCACCGCGGTAGATCCAGGGAACCCTGTAGAAGCAGAAAATCATTACAGAAAAAGTGGGACCAATTATTAACATCAGGTGTTGTTCAAGGGGAATACGGGGATGGTATAGAATACGTACTTGGAGAAAATCATGGGTAACGTTGGCCACAAGTGCAATACTGGGTCTGGAATATATTATAGCTTTCAAAAAATTTGTGTCAGAGTCTTCTGTCATGAAGCGTCGCAGGTTTGGAGATATGGACAATAATTATTCCATGAATGAATTGCAAAGTTCAAAAAGCGCGTCTAGGGACGTGCAGGTGATTAGCGCATGTTCAGGAGCTTCAACTTCTCTCTTACAAAGCCTACAAAGCCAATTCGCCCGGGGCACTGGCGGATACGCATGATCCGTATAGCGCAATATTTCAACGGCTAGTTGGGGGGTTGAAAGCACCACCGAGGTTAGAGCCTCTCGGTGTGTCTGAGTTTTCACAATTGTGAGGTAGTGCCGTGGGGAATCGGGCCCAAGGGTGGAAGCGACGATATGGCCCGGCATAGTGACCACCGCCGCTCTCTGGATGACGGGTTAGCGCGGATATATGCAGATGAGATACGGGGCAAACCGTACAAGATGGGGAGCCGCCGATTACGATATAAGTCGCTTCGCGTCAATTGACGAGGAGAATTAGACTGTTGCCGCGCTGTCGCAGTGCTGTTGTAAAGAAGTCGCCGGAAATCAAT